TGTCTATCTATCTATCTATCTATCTATCTATCTATCTATCTATCTATCTATCTATCTATCTATCTATCTATCTATCTATCTGTCTAACTACTGTCTGTCTGTCTGTCTATCTGTCTAAATACTATCTGTCTGTCTGTCTATCTATCTGTCTAACTACTATATGTCTGTCTGTCTGTCTATCTATATATCTGTCTATCTGTCTAACTACTGTCTGTCTGTCTGTCTATCTATCTATCTATCTATCTATCTATCTATCTATCTATCTATCTATCTATCTATCTATCTATCTGTCTGTCTAACTACTGTCTGTCTGTCTGTCTATCTATCTATCTGTCTAAATACTATCTGTCTGTCTGTCTATCTAACTATCTATCTATCTATCTATCTGTCTAACTACTGTCTGTCTGTCTGTCTGTCTATCCATCCATCCATCCATCTATCTGTCTGTCTGTCAAACTGTCAATCAACTGTCTTTCTTTCAATCTATCATCTATATGGCTATCCGTCTAACTACTATCTGTCTGTCTGTCTGTCTGTCTATCCATCCATCCATCCATCTATCTGTCTGTCTGTCAAACTGTCAATCAACTGTCTTTCTTTCAATCTATCATCTATATGGCTATCCGTCTAACTACTATCTGTCTGTCTGTCTGTCTGACTGTCTATCTATCTGTCTAACTACTGTCTGTCTGTCTGTCTGTCTATCAGTATGTGTAGTTCAGCCACACCCCTGAGTTTACATTCACAGCAGCGTTTTAAGAAGAGCACACAACAGACACAACATCACCCAGAGAGTAATATTGCTCATGAATAATTCATCAACTTGATGAGTCACGCCCGCATTTCCCATTATCAAGGAAAAATATTTAAAGCATCTTTGCAGCATTGAGTAAAGAGGCATCAGAGAGCTTAATCCGCAAGCAATTTGCCTAAAACACCTCGACAGTTTTACTTGAGGCCACGAGTCATTTTAACATCCATTCTCGAACCACATTGCACAGTGGACATGCAACGCTGAACCAAAGACATTGCCACAAGTTACTGAGCAGAGGGCAGTAAAAAAAGGAAGAGAGCATCTTTCCCTGCCTCCTTTTTATTTTTCTCCATGGAAACAAGACGAGTGGCAACACCTCCCATATGTGGGGAAAAAGGCTCATTGCTGATTTTCCCCCACTTCTCCTCTATGATTGCAATATCAGATGCATTCTCTTACCGTGCCATCCCATTGAATAGGGGAAGGAGACCTCAAAGAGGTTGTCATATTTCGTCAGGAGTCTTTTCATTATGGATGCCAGACCTGCGGGAAAGGAAAGAGAGTGAACAATAAAAAAAGGTTCAACTGGGAAGAACTGACTTCAATTTTCCTCCAATATTGCTTGGGTTTTATCCAGCCTGGTTTCATTACAGACGCCATGCACTTCACCCGAGCACCTTTCATGGCCAGGAGGTGCATTCATTTAGTTTTTCAGCCAAACAAAACTAGACTCACACACAGAGCCACCAAAACTAAGATGGATGGTTTGCGTCTCCCTCGCTAAATGAAATGACAACACGTATCGTTTCAGAAAGAAGCGACCTTTTGACCGCTCCAGTCAGTAAATCGCATTTGTCCTTCAAGAGTGATTCATGATTTCAAAACATGCTGGTGAATGCAAGCTTGTTTTTCCCAGGAAAACAACAGCTGCCTTGGTAATTTAATAAATAATGACAGTAAAATCAGGGCTCAGATTGAATAAACTTTGTTAGTGGAACAGCTGAGCCAAAAACAGCATCACGCTTCTTGGTCCAACAAGTTAAAAGAAAGTTTGACTATATTTATTACAAGATGTTGATTTTGGGTAGTTGCATCTTTATGGCGTGATGGGCTAAGTAGCTACATCTCTGTATCTCTGCTTGCAACCCAGAGGATACAGGTTTAAACCCTTCAAAAACCTCTGATCATTTTGGTTCTTTTCGGTTGTGAATTTGCAGAATCCAGATGGAAAAAAAAAAAAAAAAAAAAAAAAAAAAATTGCGTTTTTCTCAGAATGTCACAGAATTTGGCAAATTTTGGATAATAAATATAAAAATTGTGCTATACACACTTAGCCAAATTGCAATATGGTGATTTTGTCATGCTAGTGTCTGTGAATATTAAAGCACAAAAAGAGCTATTTAATTATTTTAAATGTATTTATTTATTATTATTATTATTATTATTATTAAATATATTACTGTTTTAGAGTAGAGAGTACTTCTCAAAATAATAAAAATAATAAAATTGTATTTAAGGAATATCACATAATTGTTCTTCCATTCATTTTTAACAGTAAACATCTGTTGTGCAGCACTTTTTGCCATAAAAATTAAAAGGAATTGTTACATTTTCCTTTTATTACATTTTAAAAGGTTAATTCAATCGTTTTATACTTTCATTTAATGGGCACTGTTTTGATAATAGGTTTGTATTGAATTAATTTCTGAGAAGATAAAATATTTCATAGGGCTTTATTTTTGTGAAAATTTAAATAAATATTTAAATGGTTAAATTAAATTGAACATATGTACTTTTTATTATTAAAATGTAATAAATATATTAAAACAGAATCCAGCAATGTTCAAATGTAGAAACGTAATTTTCTGTAAAGTTGCTTTGCAACGATTTGTATCGTGAAAAGCGCTATACAAATAAACTTGAATTGAATTGAATTGAATTATAATGAGGGGAGAATGTGTAAAAATAAAATGGAAGGGTGGATTTTTAAAGGGCTTTAAAATTTTAATTTTAATAAATTTAATACATTTTAATTGTTTGACCTTTTAACACATTGATGTTACATTGTAAAAGTTTCATTATTTCAATTAAGTAGACATGTTTTTCTATTACTAACATTTAATTTAACCATTAAATTAAAAAAAATTATAATTTGGGGGAAAAAAATAAAACAAGATTAAAAATATATTAGAAAATAGAAAAAAGACTCTCCATTCACAATACGGGGTGAATTCACTACATACTAGCGTCACTTTTGCAAACTTTTTTTTTGCACAAAATAAAATAATAAAATAACTGCATCTTGTTCACAAACCACCTGCAATTTCTAGCAATTGTGGCAGCGGTTATTTAGTGTTACAACCAAGCATATCCAAAGATGCAATGTAATCAAGTGCACATTCAACATTTTTAAGAGCCAATTCAGGTCAGAGTGGATAAGTGATGCTGTACAGTCCTAGTAAAGTATGGCAGATTGCAGTAATCTGCTGCATCACTGCATGTAATGCCCAAGATTGTTGCAAGCACAAAGCCAAATCTATTTAGAACACCTCCCGAGTTCATTTGCAGAGTACACATGTAAGTCTAATTCTTGTGACCAACTTTCCGAAAACAAATCAAGTGTAAAAACACCCTTTGTTAGTTTGGGATAAGAAAGCGTGTGCTAACTAAGCAATAATGAGTTACATGCATTCAAATATAGCCTTTTGGTCTGAAAAGAGTTGGCCTAAAAACTGCTGAGAGCTCCGGCACTTACTCAAGGAAATGTTTGGTTTGTCAGCCGATAAAATAGATTACATGCTAGGCTGGTAGTCTGTGATCCTCAGGCAGTCTCCTCGACTGGAACAATGGGAGAGCGTCACAGCTCACAGAAAATTCGAAACAATTTGCCAATCTCCATGTTAAACAAGAGCTGATGAGGCCTATTTTCATCTACATTACACATTAGACTGTTCATCTGCATGATTGATGCATTTTTATGTGCATATATCAAAAAGAGTGAGCAAATGGTCTCAGTGCAAATGATGCAATACATTAGAGGATTTGAAATGAAGGATTTTCAACAGGGATTGGCTGAGTTATCAAATGTAGGTCTACTGACGCTATGGAAAGTCTGTTGAACGCAATAGTCGTTATAGTTTGAACCCCACAAAGGGAATTATCACTACTGTGGCACTGATGAAGACACTTATCACCATTGTGAAAAAGTAGTTCACTTTACTATACTAATAAGAGCACTTATTAATAAAACAATATACTTTAAAATAATTTAGTTATAAGAACATGTGAGCTGAAGTTATAAATTTGTGACAGAAAAATGCATTTTAAAAAAAAATCTGTGGATTTAAAGTGTCATCCGGTGGCTATTTTTGGAATAATGCCTAAACAAAATCTCAATTTTTGTGATATCAACTTCAAGTTTGGAACATAAAAAATAGTTAAGTGCAATTCAATGAAAATGTGTGTAGTTTAAATTTATGCAATTAGTTAAACATCAGAGTGCTTTTTTGACCCACTTAAGTAGGAATTAATACATATTTTATGTAATTTTATAATTATATTGTCTTTGAAATATGGTTAATGTTTAGGCTACTGTTGAATGTATGGTAACTTAAAATATATTAATGTCATGTATTTAAATGTATTTTTAATGGCATGTAATGTTGAATTTAGTACATTCAAAAATAAAATATTAACACCCTACCGTTAAAATACTTTGTAGCACAGACAACGTCAGAGGCGTCTTACCTGGGCTAAGGAGAAGAAGAACTGGACTGTTGCCCAGTGGTCCAAAGTCCTCTTTTCAGATGAGAGCAAGTTTTGTATTTCATTTGGAAACCAAGGTCCTAGAGTCTGGAGGAAGGGTGGAGAAGCTCATAGCCCAAGTTGCTTGAAGTCCAGTGTTAAGTTTCCACAGTCTGTGATGATTTGGGGTGCAATGTCATCTGCTGGTGTTGGTCCATTGTGGTCCATTGTGTTTTTTGAAAACCAACGTCAGTCTTATGAAGTATTCTAATTTGTTGAGATAGTGAATTGGTGGGTTTTTGTTAAATGTGAGCCAAAATCATCACAATTAAAAGAACCAAAGACTTAAACTACTTCAGTCTGTGTGCATTGAATTTATTTAATACACGAGTTTCACAATTTGAGTTGAATTACTGAAATAAATGAACTTTTCCACAACATTCTAATTTATTGAGATGCACCTGTATGGCATAGATTTTATAACAACTTTAGATTCCAAAATATTTAGTAAATTATTTATTTTATATAAAATTATATGTTTTGGTACAGTACATTTTATTTACAGTAAACTCGAACTTCTAGAACTTTACAGTCTTTTTTTAATGTTTTCACTTCAGCAATAATCTGCTGGTCTTCAAAAGAGACTAGCATTAGGTTCAAAGCATTCATGAATTACAACCAAGTGCATTTTCACATCAATGTTCACTACAAGTGCACATTCAATATTATTAAGCACACTTCTTTTATTTAAGAGATTATTGTGGTGTCAATTAATTCAGGAAAGAAAGAAAGAAAGAAAGAAAGAAAGAAAGAAAGAAAGAAAGAAAGAAAGAAAGAAAGAAAGAAACAACTGCTGTTAGTTGTTTTTATGTCAGTCAGATTGACCAGAATGTGCTTTAAAGTGGATCAGGTTTTTTACTAATCCGGTTAGCGCATTTCACGTCAACACTGTGAGTGAAAGTTTCTATAATGCTCATGAATATTTAAAAAGACAAGCGTTCTTTAGATCATAATTAGTCTGTTGCAAGCATTCCAGCACACTATACATTTGGCTCTGTGATTCGAAGCAATATAGCCTATCCACGAAATTGGATTAGCGCTCGGTTAAAAAACAAACATAAAAGTCGATAGATTCCCGAAAGAAAGAAGATTCCACAAAAGCATCAACATGTGTCATCAAGCCTTCAAACTACAATTCAAAACATCGCTTTATCAGAAAAACAAACAACATCCCTCGAGTCTGAAAGCGTCAGAATGTCGTCTGGGTGACGGCCTCTGTAATTGGCAGGCTCAAAGCGGGGTTGTGATCTAGTGTGGTTCCCCGCCGCTCTTTCTGACAACGGCTGACCTGCTTGGTAATTTCCCTGACGTTTATTTACATACTGGATTAAATCTGTCAGAACTAAGCCTGCGAGCGTGAGAGACATGTATCCAGGAGGTGAATGTTTATCTGGTGTCACAGCTTCGAAAGCCTCTCCTTTACTTTTTCTGGCACTGACAGGGCAACTTTAATAACAACTGAGAAGTGCGTAGGTGTGTATGAGTGTGTGTCTACGCGATGCGGGAAAAGGGCACTGGGCGATGTGACAAGAAGATGTGAGGTGTTAAGAAGATATTTTGTCAAAGCAGATGTGAGGTAGAGATACAGCAAGGTGTCTTTAAAGGTTCAGACAGAAATGTTAAGCACAGACGGCGAATCAAAGGGAGTTTCTAAATGTGAGCTCTCTCCCGCGGCTCTCTTCGTGACTGACAGAATTTACAGCGTAAAAATACATTTGGCTGTGAGGGAGTAAAAACAT